CCATGGAGACAACATCATATGGGTAAGTGATGCATTTAGTATAATTTATTAAATATATTATAATATAATAATTAAATAATGAATTTAATAACAGTAATTTAATTACCGTTATTATTATAATATTAATTTTATTTCAGTTTGATTAGAAATTAATTACCAATATTTTCATTACCTGGAAATAGGCTATTAATTTAATTAAAACGATAAAAATCTAATTACCGCATCTATTATTTTATATTAAACCGATAAAAATCTAATTACCGGAAACAATAATTTAATTAACCTGATAAGAATCTAATTACCGGAATTATTATTTTATATTAAACCGATAAAAATCTAATTACCGGAAACAATAATTTAATTAACCTGATAAGAATCTAATTACCGGAATTATTATTTTATATTAAACCGATAAGAATCTAATTACCGGAACTATAAAGTTTATATAAAAGGGGCGGGGCTTAGACCGGAAGTCCCGCCTTAGGGGGCGGGGCTACAATCCATCAAACTTTTTGACAGGTAGTCTATCATAATTCTCTCTCTGATCTATTTCATGATCTATTCTAAAAACTATTATTATTATTTTATTTTAGCAGCAGTAGTAGTAGAAGTAGGATTGGCAGAAGTAGCAGTAATAGTAGTAGGAGTAGTAGTAGTAGTAGTAGTAGAAGTAGTAGTGGTTGAGGTAGCAGTAGTGGTAGTAGTAGAAGAAGTAGTATTGCAAGAAGTAGAAGTTGTAGTAGTGGTAGATGTAGTAATAGTTGCTGTTGTTGTTGTTGTAGTAGTAGTAGTAGTAGTAGTAGTAGAAGTAGTAGTTGTAGTAGTAGTACTAGTAGTAGAAGTAGTAGTAGTAGTAGTAGTAGAAGTAATAGTAGTAGTAGTAGTAGTAGTAGTAGAAGCAGTAGAAGTAGTAATTGTAGAAGTAATTGTAGTAGTAGTAGTAGTAGTAGTAGTAGTAGTAGTAGAAGTATGAGGAGTAGTAGTAGTAGTAGTTGTTGTTGTTGTAGTAATAGAAGTAGTAGTGGAAGAAGTAGTAGTAGTAGTTGTAGTAGTAGTAGTGGGAGTAGTAGTAGTAGTTGTTGTTGTTGTTGTTATATTGGTGTTAGTAGTAGTAGTAGTAGTGGTAGAAGTAGTAGTAGTTGTTGTAATAGTAGTGGGAGTAGTAGTAGTAGTAGTAGTTGTTGTTGTTATATTGGTGTTAGTAGTAGTAGTAGTAGTATTGGTAGAAGTAGTAGTTGTAGTAGTAGTATTAGTAGTAGTAGTTGTTGTTGTAAATGTAGTAATAGTAGTTGTTGTTGTAGTAGTAGTTGTAGTAAGAGTTGTTGTAGTAGTAATAGTATTAGTAATAGTAGTAGTAGTAGTTGTAGTAGTAGTAGTAGTAGTAGAAGCAGTAGTAGTAGAAGTAGTAGTTGTGGTAAAAGTAATAGTAGTAGGAGTAGTAGTAGTAGTAGTAGAAGTAGTAGTAGTTGTTGTTGTTGTAGCAGCAATAGAAGTAGTAGTGGAAGCAGTATTAGTTGTTGTAGTAGTGGGAGTAGTAGTAGTAGTAGTAGTAGTAGTAGTAGTAGTAGTAGTAGTTGTTGTAGAAGTAGTAGTAGTAGTAGTAGAAGTAGTAGTTGTAGTAGTAGCAGTGGTAGTAGAAGTAGTGGTAGAAGTAGTAGTTGTAGTGGTAGTAGTAGTAGTTGTTGTTGTTGTTGTTGTTGTTGTTGTTGTTGTTGTTGTGAAAGTAGTAGTAGTAGTAGTAGTAGTTGTTGTTGTAGTAAGAGTTGTAGTAGTTATAGTAGTAGTTGTTATTGTTTTTGTAGTAGTTGTTGTTGTTTTAGTAGTAGTAGTAGTAGTAGAAGTAATATTTGTAGTAGTAGTAGTAGTTGTTGTTGTTGTTGTTGTAGTAGTAGTAGTAGTAGTAGTAGAAGTAGTATTAGTTGTAGTAGTAGTAGTAATAGTAGTAATTATCAGTGACCAAAAATTTGGCATTCTTATCAGTGTGGTGTTTTTCAGTTTTTTTTATTTTGATGAAAAAGAAAGTTCAGAACCATGTTTACTTGAAAAAGAAGAAAAGCTATTATATATGTTACACATACAGGATTTAAAAACTAGTAAAACCACAAAAATGTTTATGATAATCACTAACACGCTGTCCCTGGTTGCACACCTGCCACTGGTTAGTGCTCACAGTGTGAGATGCTCATTAGAGCAAACAAACACAAACACCAGGTTGCCAGAACCACAGTTTTCATACAGTGTAAATTTCCTTTACCTAGCATACATCATCTCTTCACCAAAGCATAATATAAAAACACAAATGTGAGATGCATGAATATATTAATCGGCAGCTTGACAGTAAATAAGAAAAATAGTAAACAGAAAGCATAGAAGAGATGGAGTTTGGAAGGTTGTCTTGGTGTATAAAGTCCATAATTACTTTAACATAAAGAGTTCAGCACATACTGACTCAAAACCGTGTACTAACACACATATGAACACGAAGACACACTGAGGAAAGATTCTGGAGGATCCATTAAGATGGTCTGAAGACCTTCACTTAAATATGACTTTCTGGCTCTGGTGGGTTTTTTCCAGAGACACACGCTCACTCTCTTTTTTGTGCATCAATATGACTTAATTCCTTTCCTTAAAACTATCTGTATTTCATTGTTTAAGTTTAGTTGCAACTTTTAAAACTTTCAAACAGTAAAAAAAAGTCATTCTAAATTCCCTCCAGACATTTATTTCGAACACACAGTGTAGGCTGGAAATTTTCCATTTCTCCAAATTAAATCCAAATGCTGCTTCAAATTCTGGAAACACATTCAAAGCCGACAATGTTTACTCAGAAAGAACATACAATAACTCATGTTGGTACAAAGTTTCTGAGATCCAGATAGCTGCAGAGTTGCAAATATTGCTGATTTTAACAAAACAAAAAAATTGTTTTGATGTGAATGTAATCCACTTTTTCCAAGTCTAAATACACCATTTTGGGGTAGCCATACAGTATGTCATAATTTATGAAATGATCCCCCCCCCAAAAAACCAACAACAACTGTAACATCAGGAAAAAACCCTCTTTACTTCCATGAAAGATGATTTACAGAAGATCCATTATCGTCCAGATTATCAGGACACCAAAAGTTGCATCACAAGTACATATATTTTTAACAATTCTTATTGTTTTGATGTAAATTGCACTAATGTGAATTTCAAAACATACACACAGTTTCAGGCTTTAACAGACCTCAAGTTGGTTAGTTGGTCTCCCAGTGTGGCCAAGTTGGTTTGACTGGTCTGTTGGAATGGGTTTTAGAGGGATTTAGGGGATGCATTTAACTGATCTAGGCGCTGCTCACACTGTAAAATCACCACCACACACTACAATATCATGCGGCGATAATATCCAACAACCTTTAAAAAATATCACATCTTTGACTGCTCGGGACTCAGATCACATCACAGACCTGCTCATACTTACTGTTAGCATCGCTGACCACAACAACCTCTGATGTGGCTGTAATCCAGGGATTTTGTCAGACTTTGGAAATCCAACCAAATGTCATGTAGACTGAGCATACCTTAAGATAACAGCTAAACCAAGCTAGAAGCTAAATGCAAGCTTGGCCAGTGAGACTGTCTAGACAAGCTTAAAGCTTAGATCAACTTAAGAATTTTCTGCAGAGACAATTACAGAAGACATTTCTTATTCGTTTACAAGCTTGAAGTTCACAAATTAATACACTGTAAAAAAATCCTGGTTACAAATAAAATTTTTAAGCTGAATAATTTTTAAGCTGAATCACAACCTTATGAGTCCAATGAACTTATATTATGTTAAACTGACTTAAAACAGCTTAAATTAGAAGGTAATTAACTTACTTTACTAAGTTACAATGAACTAAAATCATAAGTTGTCATGACTAATTGATCATATGTTTTTTTTACAGAGTAAACATTAAGGATTTCTTAATGACTTTTAGTACACTGTAAAAAAATCCAATTTACAATTTGTTGACTCAGTTTAAAATTTGAATTAGGTGGACATATTTTTGAGCTCAGTGTTGAGTTTACTCATGAAAACTATTAAACTGCATGTTTAGAACTGTTTGTTCAATGAGGAGACATAAAATTTATTTCTTCATTTAAGTTTTTACTTCTTGCACTGTCAAACATAAAAAGTTCAGGTAACTTAAAATTTTAAAGCAACCGGCATAGAAAGATTGAGTTTTTAAGATTCTGTGGTTGAAGTTGTGCCATATTATTTTTTTTGAATTGAGTTCAATCGACTTATTCTGTTAAGTCTATTTGACTTAACCAGCCTTTTCAGTCAACTTAAAAAATAATTTGGCAGTTCAACCACTGAGGTTAAATAAACTCTCATTTTTTCACACCTAGTTGCTTTAATTATTTAAGTTAACTCAACTGTTTAATTTTTACAGTATATGTAAGTGATATTTTAAAAATATATACACACATTTTTGGAAGATTCAACATTATTTATAAGTTAGTCAACAATGGTCAGATGCTGTTTGGTCATCTCAAATCATGCTGGGGTCAGAAAAGGTTTTTTATTATCATTGATGGTTCCATTTAGAACTCAAAGCAATCTTTTCATTCTACAAACTGTTCTTTGAAGTAGAAATGTTGATTTAGATTATGTAAATGATCTTTATACAAAAAAATAAGCAGTTCTTTTCAGAACAGTTCCCTAAAATGGATTTAACGGTTACTACAAAGCATACAAAATAATAATATTAATAATGTTCATGCAGATTGAATGCTGCAGTCTTGAATGCAGGAAAACTATAACTTCAAATACTAACACATAAAATGAATACTAATATTAAATCAAAGTAAAATTTTATGTGTGTTTTATATTTCTCAAAAATTTTAATACACTTAGTTGCATTGTGTTTAAAAAAAAAAGCTAAATATATCAAACTGATGTCAAATCTCTTGGCCCATTTAGGATCACAGAATATTGTATGTATGTGTGTATGTGTGCCACTCACCGCTCTCACTCTTTTCAATCACCTCCACTCTCTCTCCTGCTTTCAGGCTTATCTCTGTGTTCTCCTGCCGCTGATAGTCCGCCGTCACCGCATACACACACATACAGTCCTCTGCACCCAGGGCTTCTCCACGCTCTTTCCCTGAGGATGATGGAAAAAAGCAGGCCGTGAGCCAGCTTCCTCCACGCCCGTGTCCACCTGAACTGCGCCGCGCCATTCACCAACACCGGCCAATCAGCACGTGCTACAGAGATCAACAGGGTCATCCAAGAATCAGCAAGCTCAGATCTATGGAGTTCACATCTGCTCCTCAACAAGCAGAAATGCTCAGGTACAACAAATCCCACTACTGATCCAGTTTCATCCCGCCTTAAAGTTCCAAAGTACAAGGTTTTGAGTAACCACAGTTCAACCTGAAGCACATCCTACCGGCTCTGGGCCCCGGGGTCCATCTGACCACCAGACTCATACGGGCTCCTGTAAGTCTTTCAGATCCCTCCTGCTGCAAGACACGGGTCTGAATGGATCAACAAATGGAGCAAAGGGGGAAAAGAAGGACAGAGAGAAGAGGAAAAGGGGTAGCTGACGAAAGGAGTGAAAGATGAGATGAGGAAAATAAACCAAGAGCTAAAGGCTCAAGGGGGCGGGGCTATGGAGCAAGGGGAAACAGATGCCAATCAAATGATGCTCCACCCCTTTAAAACGGTTTAAACAGAAACATATGGCCTATGAAAACAGAGCATACTCACACACTCAGCACATACTCGCATTCTCTCTGACTTCTCTCTCAGAAATACTGCTCTCTGACACAAAAACAGCACACATTTTTAAAAATCCATGGAGACACTTTATCATTCATGCAATCTTTCCATTGTACAAATGGTTCTGATTAATTAATAAGTGTTTTTACACTGAAGCAATGATTACTTTAAGAACTGTCCCGAAAGTTTTTTCGGGAACATGAAATTGTTCTTTTGTTGCATCTCTGCATATTAGAACTATTAAGAGTGCAGTTACTTTTGAAACTATGCTTCTTTATTTCCTAAGGGAAAAGAGATATATTATTGGTTGAAATTATCATTGGTCTGTCTTTCTATAATTTACAATTTTAATAACATTTAATAACATTTTTTAAAATAATTTTAATAAAAAAATAATAATAATAATAATTTTATTTAAATTTCCATTGCATGGCCACCCATTTTACCCACTTGTGTGTGTGTGTGTGTGTGTGTGTGTGTGTGTGTGTGTGTGTGTGTGTGTGTGTGTGTGTGTGTGTGTGTGTGTGTGTGTGTGTGTCTCCAGAATGTGTCTGTAAACTTTCAGCTCAAAACACCAATCGGATTATTTATTAGACCTTTCAGAATGTTGCAATTCTCTGCTTCAAACACAATGTAGCTGTTTTTGTTGCCTGTGCCTTTAATGCTAGTTCTCCCCACCCACCATTCCCACGTGTCTGTCAGAGTGTATCTCAAACTTTGCCAAGGCTGCACCAGAAAAACAGCACAGTGACAGACATGAAAGATGCAGATCTCACATAATGTTTGTGAGAAATAATACAGTAAGAACTTTCCCAATGGTTATTTGATGTATTTGTTGTGGAGGTGATTCAAGCCTTTCTGCAATGATGAGTCCCACACAATGTTGTTACAAAGTTCGGTCCCACTTTATATTAAATGGCCTTAACTAATATGTACTTACACTGTAATCAATAATTAGTTACATTGCATTTATTGTGCAAATACATGTTTATACCTTGTACTCATGCTTGATTAAATACCTGCATGTAATTACATCTGTACTTAATTTCTGTTATTACATTTATTATTACACTGTTGACCATCCCTTACACCTTAACCCACTCTTAAACCTACCAATACCAGCATCCTGTCCCCACATCCCACCTCAAGAGCACCAGAAGTGGTCTGAAACATATTATGAACATAGTATGTACATTGGATTTGTATTTACATGTAAGTACATAGTAGTTAAGGGCACTATAAAGTTGGACCCAAAGTTCATGCACACACACAGACACACTCAGAACACGTTTAGCTTTACACTGTTTTTGCATGACAAATGTGACAGGATGCACAATAATATCCGCTGGTGTATAAATATCTATTATGCTAATGTACAAAATAAACCTAATTTAACGTCCACAAACCAGGACTAAAGCGTTTTCTTTTATAATTGTACTCACAGGTGGCTGTGGTGATAAAGACGTTAAAATTACTGTACTTAATTGCAAACATGCACTTTTTAAAACGTTTTAAACTTGTAAAACTCATTCTTGATCACAATTGATGATTATTGATGATCACAGCTAGCTGAATAGATCTTTTAATTCCAGTTGCTTTGTGCACGTACCGTCTTGTTGATATGATTATACTACCAAGATATATCAATATGTGCCTGTCAATCGCAAGGAAACTGCACTCCTACGTCACATTGCAGTGGGTCTCAAAATGGGAGGGATTTGGATCTTATTTTAACATCAGGAAATTTAAAATAAGGAACGTGTTGTCTTTATATCACTGCAATATGCAGTGGACACACTATACCTGCACACAGTCCAATCCAAATAGCTTACAAAAGATGATTTTCATCATAGGTGCCCTTTAATGAAACACGATAATTTTGTAGTTACTACACATACCAGAATGGGCAAACTACCAGAAGCTAATCGACCAATACATGAGCCCATTGATTCACAAGATATACAATGCAAAATCACAATGACAGAAGAAAAAATATTTTAAATAAAAAATATATATTTCAAATAAATATTTTATTCTCCAAAGAAGAGTACCAAATTTATTTCTGTATCAACAAAAACATTCGTAGAAAATATGAAGAATAAGCTTTATATAAGCAAAATATAATTAAGATTTGCCATAACAATAATGAATTCCATTTTCAAATGTATTGAAGCTATTTTAAACTGTAATCACTCTTCACATGATTACTGTTTTACTTTACTTTTGTCTGTTAAATCACATTCTTGTCATCAAAGTTGCAGACATGCAGAGATTGATCAACTATTAGTCTTCACATAGCGTGCAGTAAGAGGTGTTTTATTCTCTTTTTCACAGTCCCTCTTTCTCACAGTTTTTCTCTTAATTTGCTCTTTTCTCTTTCTCCTCTTCAGTGGCTCCCCCTCCTCACTCCTCATTCCCCCTCACACTCAAACCACTTCCTCTCTGCCACGTCAACGGCCTCCCCCTGAACTGCTCTTTCTGCTAAATCACAGAATCCCTTTCTCTCCATTACTTTCTCCCACTCTCTTTCTGACACCAATATCATATTTTTACATGAACTGTGTGTCTTTGTTTTTCACTCCTGCAGTATGTTTTTTATTTTAAAATTCAGCTGACCTCATGAAAAAACAGGCACAATGTACTTTCTTACATTATAAATCAGACTGCACGTTTAATACTGCACTCTGAATTACATCTAAGTACATGAATATGCTCTTCAGCGTTTGCCATGAAAAATCAAAGTGATTAAGCTGTGACTACTGCACAGGACGAAGGAATAAGTTCATCCTTTAGGTACTCTCAATAGTTGTTTGTGTGTTTTTCTAACCTAGAGTACTTAGTGATAAATGGATAGATCACCCAAAAATGTTAAATCTATCCCCTTTTACTGAACCATCTGTTGAACACAAAGGAAAATAAACTGAAGAATGTCAGAAAAAACAGCACATTGAGCAGAATATAATGTCAAATACAGTAACAATATTATTTTGTTCCAACTGAATGCCCCCCATCCCCCCAAATTGTTTAGAAAATCTTGTTTTGTGTTGATGCATATTAAGAAATTATGTATATAAAAGTTTAGAAGCACTTAAGTGTTAGTAAATGTTGAGAAAATCTTCTTTTTTGGGTGAACTATCTCTTTAATGTCTTTCAAATATACTCATTGCGCCAGATGTTGAAAAAAAAAAAAAAACAGATGTAACGCAATGGCTAATGATGTCCGTCTGGATCACAGACTATTACAAATGTAAATGGAATGCAGAAGCATTTCCTAAGTTTGTCCTTTGCATTTTTACATACAGATACAAGTAATTTTGTAAAGGCATACCCTGATAAAAATGCTGTATTATGCAAGCCAGACCAGTAGTTGGCAATGTAACTATTTAAAGTAACACCTTACTATTGCACATATGAACCTGTAATCAGCCAATGTAGTTTACACAGAGACAATATTCGTTTTATTTTGAAAATCTCATACTGTTTTCAAAGATGAATGTTTTCTGGCTCCCAAAACGCCAATTGCCATGTAAATGAATGGTCAAAAGCCTACAGTAAAAATCTTAGCAGACTTTGAAATTAATTAATCTGCATATAATATAAATATTTTGACTATATTTTAATTAATTGACAGCCCTACCATATACTGTGTGTTTTAAAATTGCAGATAACGTACAAAGAAACATCTGAATTCTGGGTTGATTAAGCCTAAACCTGCTTACTCGAGGTATGTCAGTTCTAAAAACCTTTCTTTTTAGCTTAGTCCCTTTATAAATCTAACTATCCCAAGAACAGCTATAAGTGGACGTGGTTCAAGATTTCTTAGAGGACTTTAGAAAAACGTTCAAATATATTTTCCCAAAATTCCTGTAATTTAGGACACAACCATATCACGTGGTTTAGGATCCCTCTGCTGTTTCACACCTGTTACAGAGATACCTGAGGAAAATTCTTATGCAGTTATTCATTCATTCATTTTCTTTTCGGCTTAGTCTCCTAATCTGAGATCGCCACCATGGAATGAACCGCCAACTTATCCAGCATATGTTTTATGCAGAGGATGCCCTTCCAGTCACAACCCAGCACTGGCAAACACCCATACACTCTTGCATTCACACACATACACTATGGCCAATAATATATTCAGGCCCGACAAAAAGTTTTGGTAATGAAGTTTAAGTGGCCCATGCTCACTTTAAATATTAGGTCTGTGACAATTACAATATATACCCTACTCACTAATTTAGACGCTAGCGTTACGTTACACTAAATGTAAACAAGGTCAAATATTTCTGGGATTAGCACAATGTCAAAAAAACGCAAAGCGAATATCGACAATTTCAACCAAGGTGAAATACTCATGTGAATAAATGTTCTCTGTAATGAAGCTGACCAAAACATCCCACAGATCCCGCCTCACAGATCACCATATTGAAAGTAGCCATGGCACGGGACATTACACCTAGAATAGATGAGATTGTTTCTATGAAATGATGCAGGATGTCTGGTAAAAATCCCAAATTTTCCTAGGTTTGGCATGTGAGCCCAGTGCAGGTTTCCTTTGGAGCAAAATAATCTAAATAATACAATTTCTTACCATTTTTTAATATAGGTTACTGTTTATCTATAATAGCCTACTAATAAATGTTTTGCTTTAAATTTTTTTTCCTCTGAAATCCACAAGTTCAGTTGTAGGCATCGACAGTTGACATGGATCATTTCATGATTAGGTTGCCTTTTTAAAGCTAAAAGAATAAGTTCAATAATACAATATTGGAAACCATCTGTTGCTTGTTACAATGTGGTATATCTGTTGTTGGCGTTTTGTTTTATCATCAGTTTTTTCTAAAAAAGAAATTGTTTTTAAAGTAGACTACTGTTCTATGCTAGCCTACCGACCTGGCCGCCCTCCTCTTCCTCCTTCCCTAAACCCAAGCGACGGTTTGCAAAAGCCGTCCAGAAAAAAAAAAAAAAGCAAAAGCCCTCGTCTTTGATTTCGACTGCGTTTTCGGATCCCGCCACGTTCTCGCCCCTATTTTTCAGATTCTGTTTTTCATCTTACCTGATTTCCGGAACCGCTCTTCCTTGGATCTGATCCCGGTCGTCCCCGCGGCTGGCTCCTCCTCCTCCGGGCCTCCGCTCTGGCGACGTAACGCTGCGAGCTAAGCGGACAAACTGGTAGCAGTGGGAAAGCCCACTCGGAGACGAGCCGTCGGCCGGCTAGCGCGAAGAGGAGGAGCGTAGCGGCGCCACACTGCCCCGCAGCGTTCACTCGAGAAAAACTAAACGCGGCCGTACGTACCTCCGGCCATGTAAATCGCGGTCTCCAGAAATGTCTGTGGGGCTACATTCCCAGAATGAGCTTGGGTCGAATTTAGCTCACCCAATTAACATACAGCTCATGAGAAACAGGAGCAGCAACCTTCTTGCTGTGAGGCATTCATGCTACCCACTGCGCCACCATACTGCCGATGTGAAATATGTAATTAGGTCAGCA